TTTCTCTAGTCTTTTGTCTTCTATTTTCATGAATTAATGCCAGCAGGTTTTCTTTAAATAGCTAAGAAACTGGTTGACTTCTTATACTATTTCTATTTTCCAAACAGCCCAAGCAGAGAACAGGTACAGTCACATGTTATATACAGACACTGTACCGCTAGTCCTTAACTTAAAACCATTTGTTTGATGACAGTTCAAAGTTAAAACAGGACTGAAAAAAGTGACTTATGACTCTTTTTAACACTTAAGATCGCTGCAGCATCCTCATGATCACGTGATGCAAATTCAGATACTTGACAACTGGCATGTATTTATGATGGTTGCAGTGTCCTGGGGTCATGTGATCACCTTTTACAACCTTCTAACGAGTAAAGTCAATGGGGAAGCCAGATTCACTTAACTACCACATTATTAACTGCAGTGATTCACTTAACTGTGGCAAGGAAGGTCATAAAATGGGGCAAAACTCACTTAACAAATGTCTTGCTTAGCAACAGAAATTTTGGGTTCAATTGTGGTTGTAATTCGATATTACACCTGTGTTAACACAGATGAGCATTTTTTTCAGTTACTATATTGCTATTAAGTCATTTTACTTATGATCACTAGTAAATACTTCAAAATGTTTTACAAGGCATAATTTGCTATATGTAAATGAACAAGTTTCAAAAGATCTTTGGGATTTTTCCCTGAACATTTTAGCTCATTTAAATAAATGTGAAAAATATTCATAACTGATCTTTCCTTGTAAAAACAATTTATACAATGATTCAATATCTAAAGCAGGAGTTCCACATTAATGACAATAAAATACCTACAGATGCCTAGTCCTCAGTATGTAAATGCTCCACATTATATAATTTGGGTTTAAGATGTGTTTCCTTTATTTGCTAATACCATTTGTTATTTTTTAAAAACTTCACATAAAAGGATTAATAAGTACCAAAGAAAATAAGTTTAGGTTAAAAAAAAACCCAGCTAAACTGCTTTAGATAAACATTCGCATAATTTGAGCATTTTAGATCAGACAAAATTTCCAGAAATCATGTTTGATTTTCTTTATATACATGTTTTCATCATTATAGTTCATTTAATGTAGTAAAATTTACAATATTATAACTTGTCTATTTTAAAACAGTAATTTTTTTCCAGTCTGTCCTCTACTTTTCAAGTCTTCATAGAAATCACAAAGCTGGAAGGGGCCCTGGAGGTTTTCTAGTCAACCCCCCTGCCCAAGGCAGGAGTCGTAATACCATCTTGGACAAATGATTGTGCAATTTTTCTTGAAAATTTCCAGCAATGGAGCACTCAAAATTCCAGGAGACAAGCCGTTCCATTATATATTTAGAAAATATTGCATACTGCATGTTTGTAGCAAGTAAAGAAAAGGTGTTGATGCTGGCATAATGAAATTGTCACACTACATGTTATTACATCGTCTTAAATTTGCTTCTGGATAATATCACATCCTTTAACTTTTCAAAAACAAACCAACCCCAATTTTAAGACCCAATTTTTTTTCCGCAGAGTTGCCTACTAGCATTATATTTAATTAAAGTTCTGATTATTAAAACTAAGTCCACAGAAAGGAAATGTCCACATATTTTTATTAGGCCATTTACATGATGAGCAAATACTAGCTTCATACAGAAGCTTTTTATGTTATTTTTTGCAGGTCAGTAATGAATGTTATTGTTTAAGTGTACTATATAATTGAATGGTACCAAAGGCCTCCAGGTTTGTATTTCTAACCATTTCTTAGACTTTTTTTTTTTCACCCTATACATGATTGGAGAAAACATCCTTTTGAAGAAACATTCAACTACTATTTGACAATCCATCTACCACTATTTAAGGTTCATTACAGTTCCACCTTTCATAATTCAGACTTCCTAGTGAAAAAATAAGGGATGAAGTGTGTGAAGTGCATCTTCAAGGCATAAACAATGAAATCGCTTTTGTCTTCACAAATTTGAGCACCACATGGATTTAGGATTTGTTTTAAAATGTAAACTAGTATTCAAAACGCTGATATTTTGCTTGCTTCTCGAACACCACTCAAGTAGGCTCCTGTAACAGTCTGCGGAAAGTGCCGATTTGTGGCCTGTTTAAAATAAAAAAAGTATCAGTATATATTTTGAGAGAAATACAAAAGGCTCTTCTAGATTGCACTTTTATGTCTGCATTGCTTAGCAACAGTAATTCCCTATAATAATTTCAGGAATCCCACAACCTATTCAAAGCGTGATTTTTTTTTTTTTTAGAGTTTTCAAACTTCATTCTGATTTGAACAAAGCTGTATTTTTTTTAAATATATGTAATTTGAGATTTCACCTCTCCAGCAAAGAAGATTTTTCCCTGTATGTCTTCAGCAAGTATATCATATGCTTCACCGCTGCCCCCTGTCTTTACAAAACTATATGCCATTTGGATCCAAGGGTCTTTGCTCCATCTTGTAATAAAATATTTGATTGGATCTGGCACTTCCTGAATTGCAAAGATAAGCAAAATTAATACCAATAAAATAAAACCGTATCTGAATCCAGACACTTGTTTAAAACATATATTGAATGTTTTAACATCTTGTTAAAACATAAAAATGCATAATTGTCTTGTGAATAATTAACAAAGCAGACTTCATTAATCATGTACTCTGAGCTTCATTCAACACAAAATACAGGAAAAAACTAGAGTATTATCATTGTTATATAGTTATGATGCATGAATTCACAGGTTTTGTCTTTGTGAAACACACTATAACCTAACAAATTCAATCAGTCACTTCTTCAGTCATTTCCTACAAATTTCAGTTTCTTAGGGATCCATCATAGTGTTACATGCAAATCTCAAGTTGGAGTTGTGTGTGTGTGTGTGTGTGTGAAATGCTCTTTTCCCTAGTGTGCTAAAAATAAGCACAATTTTAAACTGAAGTCATGTAGAAGTGGACCAAATTTAATACCAAACGTTTAGAAAATGACAGATCATATAATAAATTCATCCAGCCCTGATTTTTTTTTTTAAAGTCCTGGGAAGTCTCTGCTTTCCACATGTATGGAATGGATGTTATCATCTCTGAGAAAGAAACCAACCTGTTCCTTAAACAATTCCCGAAGCACGGCCATGCACTGTTGCAGCACTTCCTTGTCATCTAAGTTCCTTATTGTTCGCACAGCATCTCCAGTTACGACAGACATTAGAACACTGCATTTACGCTGAAAACATAAAGGAAAGATCAGCTATTGTTTCCTCTACTGGTGGCTCCCTTGAATGCTGGCCAGCCCATAAAACTGAACTACTTAGAACATGTGCCGGTGCAGAATAATCACAGTACCATTTTTTTTAAGTGCTTGCCTTCTTACAACAAAACACATTCATTTTAGATGACAAAAGTCAAAATTGTCAAATGTTCTTAGCATAAAATGTACCGTAAAGGAGTGAGATATTATATATTGGGAAAAAAATACAAATTTACATTAAAACAAAGAGGAAAAGTATTCTGAAGGTAATCATTTTTTTTTCCCCAAATCTGAAGAATAGGAAGATACCGATACCTGTGGGTCCATGTCATAGAAAACACTGAAGAGCCCACGTTTGCTTGAATTAGGTGGAATATGGCCAAAGTAGTCGGCTCCTTGGATTTTGCTCTCCCAGAATCTGTAAGGAAACTGTAGTGCAATCTAAACAAAAAAACAGTATTTACCCTCTTTGTTCACAAGCACTGTCATCCTGCATAAATGTAGTATATAGCAGCAAGGAGTAAAATCCATCTCTTTCCGTAAATGAAGATCCGGTTATAGGGGCATAGGATCAAGACATTACTTTCAGGTATTTTTTTTCTCATCCAAACTAACATCAAATAAATTTAATTTGAATAGTACATATTTAACATCTTGAATATCTTACAATTTTTAGGAATGTATACAGAGAAGTGGATTGATCTTAGCTTAGCTCCAACTTACACCCAAGTAATGATGTCAAGAAGTCTCAAGACTGGTTTTGAAAAATAAAGGGTTATCCTCCTACTATGGATTATTTTTTATGAATACATACATGTGGAATCCATTCTTAACTGGAATAAAACTGTCTAAACCAGATTATGTAAAGAACATAATTTCTAAAAATGTTATGAAGGAGTCCATAGGAACTCAAGATTAGTTTTAGGACCCTTTACCAGAAATATTAATACAAGTATATGGACCTATATCAGTATTCAAATGCCGTATTTTTCAGAGTATAAGACGCACCCTTTTCCCTCAAAAAAGAGGGTGAAAATCTGGGTGTGTTTTATACAATGAATATAGCATTTTTGGAAATTACCAAAACCCCGCCCCCTTTGCAGAAATGGATGTACAGGGGGTTTGGGAGGCTTGCAAAGTGTTCCTGAGGGCTGAGGAGGGCAAAAAAAGA